GGGCAACAAAGCAAGACTCTGTCTCAAAAAAAAAAACAGTCGTTCTATCAGTCTTTTAAAGATACCTACGTCAATTTGATATTATAAATACATGACCAATTTTTCTTTGACTGTGAGCTATTTTAGATGATTTTTTCCTTCCTGAATGCGTATTTCCATTCCCCTTTTGCCTCAGGATTTCATCCTACCATGGTATGTATATGTATAGTATGTTTAATCATGCTCTACATATTACTTTTTTTTTTGCAAGAAAGTCTGTAAATTAAAATTTAAACACACTTCTAGGTAGCCAAAAGTCAATATTTAAAAATCATCTAGACAGTGCACAGTTGTTTAAAACATAAATGAATGTTGATTATTATCAAAACACATTTTAGCAAAACTGACTGTTCAAAAAAATCTTTGCAGAAGAAACTGACTCTTGTAATGAGGTAATGGTGCGCCCTCCCTCTTTCCTTTGGTGTCTATTGCTTCATGCATACACAGACATGAACAGTGTTGTCCAGAATGGTTTCCATTCAGTTGTTTTCTCTAGATATATGCTCTACAAAATATTTATGAAAATAAATACATACAGCTTGGCACAGCGGCAATATCGTAGCCCATAAGGTTTATCCAAGATGTGATTATTGCTAATTGAAAACTTTTCCCAATACCCCACAGTGATGACTTGCAATATAGTTGGCATTGGCAACTTTTGGCAGTCTCTATGGAGACTGAATTAAGAAATTTAAAAAGAAAAGAAATACATAGGAGTGGAAATTTTGTCATAGCCATTTACTCAATTCTTTGCCTCTCTAGCTATGATCCAAAAATTAAACAGATCCATCATCAAAAGTGAGAACTGTCAACACCCTTAATGCTGTCGAGAAATACAGGATTTGCATTAAAAGCTATGGAATTCAGTCTCTTCTCTTTGAAACAGGTGCCCGCTGAATGACACAGCCAAGCCCTCGCCCTCCTACCAGCGTAGATGGTAGATTGTAGATCTGGAGCCAATATCCTAAACAAGCATTTGCAGTCATGAAACTGCTCTCATAGATGCGTATAGTTCTCTCCCTTAATGAGCTTAAAACAGGTTTAATAAGATGAAACCTGTCTCTGGCAGAGAGAGGAGTGTGATTGATTGTGTTAGCACTAGGCAATGACATCGGTTAGTGCCAGAGATAAGGCACAAAATGAACATGTAATCAAAATTTCCAAAAATAATTCTGTAAGAATACATTTTGTGGTGTATGATGCCAAATGTCAATTTCTCAGTCCTTCTGACTCCTCTGGCACAAGCTCGAAGTAAAAATAGGCTGCCTCTGCCTGCCTCCCCAGCTGCCCCAGGCCCAGGACAGGTGGGGCTGATCTCTCCCTTCCAGGACGGAATCTGTTCAGGGAAATGCAAAAAAGCTAAAACAGCGTTCCTGCTATTGAAATTTTATAATCAAGAAAATTGAAATTGTGTACAGAACCCATGTCTATAATCACATTGTTACAGCAGAGAAAGACAAATGTGAAGTTGAATGTCAGCATCGAAGGAGGACAGGGCCCACTTATCAAATACATGAGAATCACAGAGTCTGAGAGAATTAGGACACACTGGACAAAATGGAAGCATTCTCTGGGTCAGAAATAATTAAGCCACATTCCTAAATTAAGTTTCTGGAATGAACTGGAGGGATTTGGGAGACATAAAATCTGAAATGCATTTAAGAGACTGCACCTCACCCATCTCAGCTAGAAATTTCAAGTCAAATTTGTTAATTACTATGGAGAAAATCAAACAATTTGGAGGGAATCAACCCCGTTAAAATGGCTTTGATCAAAAAGATAAAAAAATTATACTGGTAAAGATGCAGAGAGAAGGGAACACTTACATTCCTACACTGCTGGTAGGAATGTAAATTAGTACAACCATTATGGAAAACAGTATGGAGATTCCTCAAGAAACTAAAAACAGAACTACCATATGACCCAGCAATCCCACCACTGGCCAAATATACCCCAAAGAAAGGAAATCAACATATCAAAGAGATAGCTGCGCTCCCATGTTCATTACAGCAATATTCACAGTAGCCAAGAAATGGAATCAACCTAAGCGTCCACCAACGAATGACTGAATGAATGAAGTGTGGTAAATACAGTGGAATATTATTCAGCCATAATAAGAATGAAATCATGGCCAGGCGCGGTGGCTCACACCTGTAATCCTAGCACTCTGGGAGGCCAAGGCAGGTGGATCGTTTGAGCTCAGGAGTTCGAGACCAGCCTGAGCAAGAGTGAGACCCCGTCTCTACTAAAAATAGAAATTACTTGGACAACTAAAAATCTATATAGAAAAAACTAGCTGGGCATGGTGGCACATGCCTGCAGTCCCAGCTGCTCGGGAGGCTGAGGCAGTAGGATCGCTTGAGCCCAGGAGTTTGAGGTTGCTGTGAGCTAGGCTGACACCATGGCACTCAAGAGAGTGAGACTCTGTCTCAAAAAAAAAAAAAGAAAGAAAAAAAGAAAAAGAAAGAAAAAAAAGAATGAAATCCTGTCATCAGCAGCAACATGAATGGAGTTGGGGGACGTTATTTTAAGCGAAATAAGCCAAGCACAGAAAGACACAGGCATGTTTTCAATTATATGTGGAAGCTAAAAAAGTGGATCGTATGGAGAGAATTGATTGGTGGCTGCCAGGGGCTGGGAAGAGCAGTGGGGAGGTGGATGAAGAGAAGTTGATAAACGGGTACAAATATATGGTTTGATAGAAGGAATAAAATCTAGAGTTTAATAGTACAGTGTGGTGACTATAGTTAATAACTTGTTGTAAGGTTCAAAATTGCTGGAGGAGAGGAATAGGAATATTCCCAACCCAAAGTGGGGGTGAATGTTTGGGGTGATGGATGTCCTTATTGCCCTGGCGCCAGCGTTACACATTCTATGCGTGTATTAAAATACCACACGCACCCCAAAATAT